ACCAAGGTGTAAGTTGTGGTAAGAGTTCATGAAGTAATGGGAAAGATGATGGAGGGTGACTGCCAGTTGTTTTTTAAAAATATTTATTATTTTTATTTTATGTGTATGAGTGTAATGATGCCTGCATGTAGGTGGGTGCACCCATGTTGTGCAATGCCCATGGAGGACAGAAGAGGGAATCAGATTCCCTGGAACTGGAGTTTTGAACAGTTGTTAGCTGTCACGTGGGTGCTGGGAACTGAACCCGATGCCCTTAACCACTGAGCCATCTCTCCAGCCCCCAAATTCTTCTAGCCTTTATTCTACTGAATCCCGTCCTTCTTGCCTCACATAGTATTTGCTGTTATCTCTAGGTATACTTCGGTAATGCCAGTCCTGCATGCAAGCTGTTTGCTTCCCAGGCTCACACTGATGGTGCAGACAGTGGTCAAAGGGCAATAGTGACACCACAGGTATATTACTGGAGGTCTTCAGGAAGCTTGCCTGAATGAGCCTGACACTCAATGGATACCACCAACAAAGAACTCATGGGGGCTAAAATTGGATGGGTGAGATCTGGAGAGATGGCTCAGTGGTTAAGAGCACAGACTGCTCTTACAGAGGAGCTGGGTTCAGTTCACAGCACTCACATGATGGCTAACAACTTCCAGTCCAGAGAAAGCTATCCTTAAACAAAGATTGCAATTGGGTATTTTCTGGGCTCTCAATTTCTGCCCTTAAAAAAAACAAAAAAAAAAAAAAACAGAGGTTGTGATGAGGGAGTGGTCATTCCCTGGATCTCCATTCATGAGACTGTCCCCTGATCTGGCACTGAAGGATCTGGTTACAAGTGTCAGACGCAGGCTGGAGAGAGCACAGGCTGCTCTTGCAGAGGACCTGGGTTCAATTCCCAGCACCTACATGGTGACTAACAACTGTCTGTAACTCCAGTTCCAGGGAATCTGTTGCCCTCTTCTGACCTCTTAAAATCCCAGTGCTCAGGAGGTGGAGGCAGGAGGATCAGAAGTTCAGGGTCATCCTTGGTTACACAGAGAGTTTGAGGCCAGCCTAGGCTACATTAGATTCAGCTTTTGGGAGGGACTCCCTTTGTATAAAACCTTGCTTTTTCTACAGAAAAAATGTTTTTGTAAGAAGCTTGTGTGTGAGGGGCTGGACAGATGGCTCAGCGGTTAAGAGCACTGACTGCTTTTGCAGAGGACCTGGGTTTGATTCCTAGCACCCACATGGTGGCTACGAACTGTCCTTAACTCCAGTTCCAGGGGAATCTGAAGCCCTCTTCTGACCTCCGAGGCATTGCACGACACGGGTGCACTCACATACATGCAGGCAATACACTCATACACATAAAAAAATAGAAAAATAAAAAAAGCTTGTGTGTGTACATGTTTATGTAGATGTGTGCATATCTGTGCATGCATGTATGCATGCATGTGGAAGACCAGAGGCTGATATTAGGTGTCTTCTTCAGTCATTCTTCACTTTATTTTTACTCTCTGAACCTCGTGCTCACTAATTTGAATAGGATTCACCTGTCTTTGCCTCCCCAACACTGGGATTATAGATGTGCATGTACTCAGCTTTTAAAAAATTTTATTGTTTTTATTTTATGGGTATGGGTGTATTGCCTGTAACTGCACCTGTGTTGTGCAATGCCCAGAAGAAGGCACAGGATTTCTCCAGAACTGAAGTTACAGACAGTTGTTAGCCACTGTGTAGGTGGCTGGTAATTGAACCCATGTCCTCTGTAAGAACAGCCAGTGCTTTTAACTGCTGAGCCATCTCTCTAACCCAGTACTCAGCTTTTTACATGGATACCGGAGAGCCAAACTCAGGTCCTCATGCTTGCATGGCTAGTACTTTACTGACTGAGTCATCTTCTCAGCTCCTGAATGTTTTCTTTTTAATGTTAAACACTTAAAGAGAGACCAGGAAAAAGTGCTCCTAAAAATCTGAGAAGAGCCTTTTAGAAGAGTTAGTGAGACTTTGCCTCTTAGTCCCATCTGCAGTTCATATTCTTGTAGAAGTGTCTCCATCCAGAAGTACAAGGCAGACAGTTCCTTCTTAGATGTATTATTACTTTACTAAAAATTTGATTACATTTATCTGTGTGTGTGTGTGTGTGTGTGTGTGCTCATGCCATGGGTGCATGTGGAGGTCAGAGGACAACTTGTGGGAATTGGTTCTCTCCCTCTACCTGCTGGACTGGGAATGAACTCAGGTTCTCAGGCTTGGTGGCAAGTGACTTCACCTGCCGAGCCACCTCACCAGTCCTATTATTATTTTAAATGTCCTAAGTGAAGTGGCGGGTGGGGGGCAGATAGAGTTATGTCTGGGATCCTGAGGACTGAGAATCCCAACTGAACTATTTCTGGATTTGCGGACATCACTGCCTCAGTTTTCTTACTGGCCAGAAGGGGATAATAATGTCTGCCCCTAGGATTATTCTGAGAATTTAATGAGATAAAAAAAGCAACAGAAATAAGTTAAAATGTTAGGCTCCCTCCCCATCCACAGCAGTGGTCAGCTATGGGAGGAAGCTCAGAAATTTCTCAGCAATTCCCATTAACTCATGTTGGTTGTCTTCGTTTCCTGGGTCAAGAGGACTAACCAGGCTCAGCCAGTTGGTACCAGCTCCAAGGAAAGGTGGAGTGGTGTAGGGCTAGGTTGAGACAAGGATGCCTGTTCCAGGAAGCTTACTTGATGCTTCAAATGAAAGAATCAGATTGTGTCCAAGAATGTTCTGAGGTCAAAACTATAGGTATGAATCTACCGTGTCATAGGGGAAAGGCCTTGGGGGTCAAGGTTCTGGCTGGGAAGAAACCTGGGGAACAGGGTGTGAAGCAGTGTGTGCAGAAGGCCCAGAAGCCGCTCCTGTGAAAATTCAACACCTCTCAAAGAGCTTCCTTGAAGGGTGAACAGAATCTGGACACACGTGGCCAGAGAATCTCTTCCAGTGAGTTCTGTCTTGCCAGCTACATGGTTTCTCCATGTTCCCCTTTAAGGCCAGTTAAAGTCAAGGTAACTGGGCCATTACAAACGAGTAATTTACATGGGTATTCTACTCATCTAGATCGGGCAGCTGGGAATATCACAGGGAGTTATGAAAATAATTCAAGACCGAGGACAGAGCTGTGATGGCTAAGCAGACCCAAAACTCCCTATCAGATTGTTAGAAAAAGCTGCAGCAGTCTGGGACATGGACTGTGACTTATGAGCAGAGTTGTGGAAAGAAGAATGCAAGCAGGGTCAGATGCTGCTCAGGACAGACTGGAGTGGGGAGAGCAATCCAGTGCAGCAGTCAAGGGCAGGCTTCAGTGTTCTCATCTGTAAGATGTGCAGAATGGACATGCACTGAAAACTCTTTGGAAGGGCACACTGGAAACCAGTGTCACTGGTTACAGATGGCACAGGGAAGGGAGACACTTTTCCCTTCACATTTGGGTACATTTTCATTTCAGAACCATGTAGATGTGTGTCCTAGGAAAAAGAATAAATTATATAGATGTGTGTTATTGTTAACACAGGACCCAGCCATGTGTCCATTTCTGTGACCTTCGTATCTGCAGCAGTCTCTTAACACATTTCCAGGTCACTGTCTACTGGCACGAGCCTTACACTGCATTTATAAATTCAGCCCTTAAATCAGCAGTCCTGGAAACGGCCACAATGAATAAACAAGTACCATTTGAAAATCAGATTTAAAATGAATTTAACTTTTAACATATTTTAGAGAATTAGTATTAACAGTGGCACCTGGCAAAAGTTTTTTTTTCCTTTGGAAAGAAAATTAAGCCCATAAAGAAGTTTGAAAAATGGTACAATGAACCACCGTAGAAATATTCACCAACTTTTAACATTTTGCTGCATTTGTATTCTAACACATACTTCTGAATCATTGAAAGTTAGTTGCAGACATGGCAGTGTTTTCTCTACATACTTCCACATATGTCTTCTGGGCACAAGGATATTCCATGATCTAACCACAATGCAATAATCAAATTAGAAAATTTAACTATAAGACTTGTATTTATTGTATGTCCTACATTCAAAATCCCCTATATTCTATTCTAGTATTGTAGTAATGTCAGTTGTAACTTCTTACTTTTTTTTTAGGAAAGGGCAGGGGATCGAGCAATATAACATTAACTATACCTTAGCTTTTTACTTTTAGATTGAGAATCCTTTTCAGGATGTGTGTGTGTGTGTGTGTGTGTGTGTGTGTGTGTGTGTGTGTATGTGATGGAATTCAGGGCCTCTCCTATGCTAGGCAAGGACTCTGTTACTGAGACTGCGTCTCCAGACTCTACTGAGGATCTGTTGGTTGGATCTTTTAGCTTAGGGTATTTGCCTAGTTGTCTTAAGAAAATTTCTCATTAAAATTTTTTTTAAGTTATTTTAATTTTTTGTGTATGAGTGTATTGCCTGCATGTGCGTAAGTGCACCTGTGTTGTGCAGAAGAGGGGTCAGAAGAGGGTGTCGGATTCCCCTTTACAGATGGTTGTTAGCTGCCATGTGGGTGGCTGGGAATCAGAGATTCCTCTGCAAGAGCAGCCAGTGCTCCTAACTACTGAGCCATCTCTCCAGCCCCCGATGTTTTCTTTTTCTGTTTGTTTTGGGTGTTTCTTTCTTTCTTTCTTTCTTTTTTTTTTTTTACAGGATCTCCATCTGGCCTGGAACTCATTATGTAGACCAGGTTGGCCTTGATCTGACGGAGATCTGCCTGCCTCTGCCTGCCGAATGCTGGGATTAAAAGGGTGAGCCACCACACCTGGCTTGATCTTTTCATTTTTGAAGAGTGTTAAGTCAGCTTTGGCCTTCTCCTTAGGTCCAATGTCCTTTGATTTGTATCTGTCTGTTTCTTCACCACAAGACTCAGATTTTTGGCAGGGTATTATAACATGATATTCTAACATCACCTTTATAAATGTTTTTAATTTTCTTTTAAATATATGAAATTAGTAATCTGAAAACATTCAAACTTTTTTCCCCCATCTATCCAGCAGGCCAACTATTGGCAAGTAACTTCTGCCATCATGCCATGATGGAAGCAGTGGGCTATTTGTATAGGTCACTTGATTTAAGGGCGACTCATCTGAGATCTTCCCATGCATCAATCCGGGGGATCCTGCTGTGAGTTTCTGTTGCATGTCTTGAAAAGAAATATATTTCTGATTATTCATGTTATGTGTACAGCCTCTTGACACTTTTTGAACTTTTGTAGGCTTCTAAGGGAAATCCAGCGGCTTTGGGGCAGGAGAGGTTTGCCTCAAGGCATGAGCCAGCAATATCTTGAGGGTCCTAGGAATGACTTTTCATTATGGGAACACTTGCTTAAGTTAAACTATCACAGCGCTCAGAGTTCTGACATGGTAAACTCTGCAATGTGTGTGAATGTAGGTAAGTTACAGAGTGCTAAAATCATGGAGCCAGCTCCTCCCATTTCAGAGAAATCAAAATGTGCTCCTGGCAAAGGGAAAAAGCTCTCAACTCCAATTCTGGACCTGTCTGCTGGGGAGAAGTCCCAACCAAAACCACAAAATGCTCCAGTATGGAATGGTCCAAGGAAGCAAGCACCAAAGAAAAAGAATGACTGTTCTTTGAAGATTTTACCCCTGGATGAAAAGAATGGCTTAGTAAGGCTTTCAAGGCAAATGATTTTTTCTGCTAACAGTGAGAGCAGAGAAGGCCTAATCACTTCACTTTACCATCAACCTGTGCCAGTGTCTCTTAGTGCAAATAATCCCTGGGAATCCATATCGGAGCTCATATCAGAAAAGTGGCTTTTTCATAGCCCACACTATTATCTTAATCCTCAAAAGTCCATGTTTCAGAGACTTCAAATGACACTAATAAAGAATAAAAATTACTTTGAGCTCTTTTGTATTCGTTTTCCCCTTTATTTTAATAAAGTTTGTGTGTGTGTGTGTGTGTGTGTGTGTGTGTGTGTGTGTAAGCCAGACACTGTTTCTTCCTCAATGACTTTCCTTCTTATTTCTTGAGACAAGGTCTCACTGAACTTGGAGCTCACTGATTCAGCTAGACTGACTAGGCCGTGAGCTCCAGAGATCGTCCTGTGTCCATCCTTTCCAGTGCAGGGGTCACAGGAGCAGGCTGCCATACCTGGTGTGTTGCAGAGTGCTGGAGATCAAACAGGTTCTCACTCATGCACGGCAAGCTCTTTACCCACTGATCTGTCTCCTCAACCCCCTATTTTGGACTCTTTAATTGGCTCTTCTAAGACACTTAGGAGTGATAATTATCAAGATTTGGGGGTTCAGTTTTTTTTTGTACATTATAATATTGTGACTGATTCTAGTTCAAAAGAACAGGTCTTAAATAATTAACATTTTTGCAGTAAATAGGGCAATGTTGATCTCTCAGGATCTAATAGTCTAAGAAAATATATAGAAGCAATTTCATTATAGTTCTGTTATTTTTACATTTCTATAGTTCATGTAATTTGAATTTATAAGTTTTTCATCTAGACAGAATTGGAGGTGGTTATCACCAAAATTTTTATTAATATAAATAAGTTAGGAATTGAAATGCTCTGAAGTTGTAATCTTAAAGTACTTGAGCTCGTGGATTTGATATCGTATCTCTGATTTTGAACCTTTTATTATCCTCCATTTTATCAGTGATTTGTAAAACATTAACCATTAACTGTTAAGGAACGTTTTCTAGCTACCTTCATCCCTAGTCTACCTTCTAAAAGCCCCAGAAGGGACTCAGTGGTGTGACTTTAGACAAGCTATTTCAATTCTGTTGTGCCTCAGTTTCCTTATCTAAAACGAGAGAAATGGCACTAATTTTTTTCAAGCTACCAATAAGATCGCGTGAGATATATACATGCTAAGTCTTCCATTGATGGCAGTTACTGTCAGGAGCTAGCCTAGATGCTATCTTTCTTCAAGAAACATCTTCTGACCCCTCTCCTCTAGTCCACAGCTTAAGCATGCACTAATGCCCCTGTTATTTGTCTTATGCTGTGCCCCATCTATTTCACATATGCAAACAATTCCCTATATTTCACCTCCCACCCTGCTTAATGGTCGCAGCCATAGAGTAATCTGGGAATTCCTTGGGACCCAGTGATTCTCAGGCAGGTCCTGGGTGGGTGACGTCAGCTGCAGGAGCCAAGTGTGACTCAGTGCACAGAGAAATGGCGCCTGGTGGGTAGGTTACTGTTTGTCATTGGTGGAACCACAAGGTATGGAACAGGTGCAGCTGAGTCTGTGAGCTGAGCAGGACCCGTGCTGTGAGCGTGCCCACAGGACCCCTGTGGAGGTGGAAATCTAGGATGGAGCACTGACTTTCCAGGCAGTGCACCCTCAGGGAAATATGAGCGTAGTTTATCCTTATTCAAGGGCTGGGATCTTCCAGCTGACATTAGCCGTTGTGTGGGTCTCGGTTCAGCCGTTCCTGAAAGGGCAGGCCTGGATACCTGCAAGCTGAGCGATAGGGCCGTCCCAGACTGGCACTCGAGACCCAGGAAAGGTCTAGACTGCAGAAGCCATTGACGTGGAGTGAGGTCACCCTCCAGAGTTGGCACTAGATCAGAGATGGGGTTTGGGCACATCATTCGTGCGCCTAGAGCTGGGGACCGCCATGAAAGGGAGGAAAAAGATGGAGCGGAATCCCAAGGGCTCCAGGGTCGGCGACGACTCATCGCGTTCTGTGTGGCTTCTGCACCACTGCGTAACCGCTCCCACGCGCGGGGTCAGGAAGTGACTGCAGCAGGTCGGGCAGCAGCTGGCCGGCTCGGGCTAGCTCCTGCAGCTGGGCTAGCTTCTGACTCCACCCCGGCCCCTAACCCCGCCCCCGTCCGCTCCGAGCCCCGCCCAGGCCCGTGGCCCCGCCCTGACTCCGCCCCATGGGTGCTGGAGGCCCGGCCGCGCCGCCACG